TAGAGCTAGCATTCTTCCTGTCGTGCGGACATTTATTTAGATTAATCCTGATTAATTGTGGTACCAACTCACAATCCATATATTTACGAGTAGGTTCGTTTAATTACAAATAAAATAGCTCATACATAGAAAGTAAATAAATTGGCAAAAATAAATTTTTATTTATTCATTCATTCATTTATATCACTTCGACACTAAACAAAATTAATTTCAACAATTTTATTTTAGGAGATTTATCGAAACCCCGTTATACTGTGTGCAGGAAGATCAGGATTTAACATAATCTATTGCCTCATTTGGTCAGATGCCTAGGTCTCAAATAGCGGCCAGTCATAGATGTGACTTTGACCAGAAATTAAGCCACTTTCTTTGCAAGTAATTGAACCTTTTTGTTAAACGACATTCGCCGAAGTCTGACAACCCCACCGGGACGAAGAGAATTTTCTGCGAGTTTGGATATATACCCATTTCGGTGCTATCGGACATCGATAGATTCTTCAGACAGTCTGCACTCCTGGTCGCTAGGCTGTCTGACGTTAAGTGAAAGGACCACTCGAGGATGTTGCAGCCACTTTGTATCACGTGCCTCGCTTGCACTTCACTGAAGAGGCAGAGAAACGAAACTGTAAGACCATAACGAGTGAGCAAGTGTACATTCGAAGAAGCTCGTTCATAGCAGTAGGAGGTATCTGCTCTTTTAGACTTTTTGCTCTCGGCTGCACGACGGTGATTCTCTTACAAATTGGTCTCGTCATAGAGAGGCTTGGAGGTGAATTCCCTTAAACACAGTCTCATTGCGTACCCTCCACTCTGGCAACTCGGTTACATGACTTAGTACTGGAGTTTAAGGGAAAAAGGGAAAGTCAGCCTGGAAAAAAACGCACTCCCAGAAGTCTACATGTTATAGTAGCGAACTTTCACCTCATTGCGGATGCATCCATCGTTCGTTTGGCCAGTGTGGAAAGCTTTGGTCTCAGTCTCGGTTACCATCCAAAAGACAGGGCAATCTGGTCCGTGTCCGCCACAGTCGGCTGTGGCTGGAGGAGTAAAAGAGGACGATGAGATACATGCAAAAAATGAAGACGCATAAACAACTTTTTTATAAAGGCTTCATACTATGCTCGGGATGGGAGAGAAGGATAGAAGAGATGATGCTAGTAGGTACATGAAAGAGAAAGTTCGACAAATGGTTGCACACTCAAAAGAGTAAAACGGTTTAACGTCTGACATGTTGAAGTAAAAAACAATTTCGCTTCTCTCCGCTCTTCAGCTGTACATTTCACGGCTTTGATTTTTCCGTTTAGAACACCCCAAAATATCGAGCTCCGCCTTTTTCGGTTTGGTGGAGTGTACACACATAGCTATGTTGTCGAAGGTGTAGTAGAAGCCATCTTTGAAGAAGAGCGTTTCGCCTGCCTCATGGAAAGGAGGTTCGAAGGAGAGGTAGGTTGAGGCGGAAAAGAGAGAGAGAAGACAAGGTCAAGAGACATTCGTTGGGGCTTAGATCGACTGTATGGAAACTCGCTGAACTGAAGAGCGGCAAAGCCTAATCAGCGAAATTATACTTCATCTACACAGTCTGAGGTCACCACAAAGAACTGTGTTTATTTCATCATTTATAAGAAACGAACACAAATTTTGCATCGGCTCATATTTTTCACATTAAGTATTGTTTCGAGACTACCAGTAACTCAGTAATATAAGATGTATTCACTCAATTTCGTTTAAGGTAATGAGGGACTGGTAGAAGAATTTTCCCACAATGATATGAGTTGAGCTGGCGTTTCCATTAAATTTCACATAGCCTTGCTTTCCCAAATTGTTGTTATCATCCAGGCAGAAGTGGACTTCAGTTTCGACCTCGCATCGGTTTTATCAACACCCTAAGCGGGAGTCGAAGCGTATGTTTTGGTATAACAATTAACTAATATACTTTATTTTTCGCATTAAGTATTGTTTCGAGACTACCAGTAAATTAGTAAGTTGAGGCGGAAAAAGGAAGAGAAACAAGACAAGATCAAGAGACATTCATTGGGGCTTAGATCGACTGTATGGAAACTCGCTGAACTGAAGAGCGGCAGAGCCTAATCAGCGAAATGATACTTCATCTACACAGTTTGAGGCCACGACAAAGGACTGTGTCATCATTTATAAAAAACGAACACAAGTTTTGCATCGGCTGATATTTTTGCAACAAAAAAACATAATTTTCCACTAGTATCTAAATCAACTAATGTTAATTCACAAATGTAAACCAACAAAATCAGCATTGAAAGTCCACATGCTTCAATATTTGGCATGATCACACTTTGCCCTAATCGTTGCTTTCAATCTCTCTGGTTCCGATTTTACATGTTTTGGGGAAGTTGAAGAATCAGTGTTATTCCAGCGCCTTTTTTAGAGAATCTCATAGAGTGTTTTGCGATTTGGTCGACAATGTTTCTAACCTCTTCCCTTTTTAAACGTACCAAAGGTTAAATGGGGTTGAGGTTATGTGACTGTGGAGGAGAGAAAGCCGTGCAAGTCAGAATTCCATGCTCTTCCTTCGACTTCTAATAGGCCTGGCACAACTTCAATGCATGCTCAGGAGAATTGTCTTGCTGGAAAATGAATCCTCTTTCACACACATTTAAGACAGAAGGGATAGCATGCCTCTGCAGAATAGAGTGTTACTTCTCTTTGGCCAATACGCAGTTGATCCTGTGCAAGTTACCCACTCCAGAATAGGCGAAACATCCCCGCACATGAATATTTTCACCACCATGTTTGACTTTTAGTTTTATGCACTGTTGCTTTAACCTCAGAGACATAAAAAAAGTGAACAGGTAAAACATATTTTAGCAGCACTAGACAATCTCTGGGATTCTCTAAAAGAGCGCTGGAATAACATGGATGCTTAAGTTCTACAAAAACATGTAAAATCGGTGGTGATAAAGGCAAAAGGTGGTCATACCAAATATTGAAACATTTTGACTGACAGTTGATACAAACAAACTTTCGTTAGTCTACATTAGTTAACCTACCTTAGCTGGCTTACATATTGGTGAAAAATTATGTAAGCTTGTTGGGGTACCTTTCATTTCGTTTGAAGAGGCGAGTGGAAAATATTTGTAAGTTGGTTTCACCCGAAGCTGTGGGGGGATTTCCTTGGAGCTGTGATTGTAGATTTGTGCGAATAGGTCCTCGACTCACCGCCATGCGACCTTCATGAATCGCTGCTGAACTTTCGTCCGTCATGTGAAGGACATCCTCATTGCAGGACACCACGCTTGAAGATAATTCACCCAAAACACGAAAGCAAGGAAGGTGGCTGGCTTCAAACCCACCTACTTCTAATAGTCCAATTTGGCGCCCTTAGATATCTCATCGTTTAGCTGGATATCCTATGCGCTTTCAGCTATTGAGTAGGTTTTATGTGAGTTTTCGCACAAATCTACAATCACAGCTCCAAGGAAATCCCACCACAGCTTCTGGTGGAACCAACTCACCGCTTCAAACGAAATGAAAGGTACTCTAACATCTATCTAGTAAGGGATTCCTCGAAACACAGTTTCTCCACATACTTATGTAATCTTACTTCAAAATTGTCGACTGAATAAGTATTTTTACCAGCTTTTTATAATTTATCAAATAACACATTTTATGGTGGTCGACTCAAACTTTTGAACTCAACAAGTGTGAAGAGAAATTATGTTTCGACGAATCCCTTAATAAATTTATGTTGTGTTTCGTTTGAAAAGGTGGACGAAAGGGATTTTTAACGGGGCGCTATCAGAAACCGAAAGACGATTGCCTCGTAGTTGGGGTTGTTGACCTGTGCGAAGATACCCTCGGCGCTTCGCCCTGAGACCCCAATACATCTATGCTAAGCTTTTATATTCAGAGTGTGAAATCATTAATGATTTAACTTCTTAAAATCCAATCTTGTGATCTTAAAGATGCATCTCAGGATTTGGCGTGACTCGATTTTTGTTTTAAAATTAAAAGTTAGTTGAAATGGATTCGTAAATTGGCCTCAACAGCGACCAAATGAGGATTGTCTTGAAGTGGAGAACTTTGGATCGTGCGAAGATTCACTGTTCTGCGATTCCAGTGACTTAGCTTTCGCTTTCCACGTAACAGACATCATATTTAGATAAAGTAAGTTTAGAGACTATCAGTTGAATTTTCTCAAAAGCACGTTTCCAGTGAATTCGCACACAAGCATTCTTGCCCAGGCTCGACTTGACTGCAGTTGAGATCTCGCCTCCCGCCGAACTCGAACCCAGGAAGTGTAATAGTCAATCTCGACATGTTCTCACTATACTATATTGCCGTTCTTAAGTTCGATTTCTGCTGCAGGTACTGATGAAACCAAGGCGAGGTCGAAACTGCAGTCGATCCTGAATCATAATTCAACTTCATCACGTTATGCGATCTAGGATGCCTAGAATCCTTATTCTAGATTGTTGGGGAGACCTTCATTTCGTATTAACTTGCATGAAGAACAGATTCGTAGGTTGATCTCACCAGAGAAAAATGGCTCAATCCCGTTGAACTGCAGCCATTTGGCCTTACTACGACGTTCAGGTTGACGCAGTCCACGAGACATCTTCCCTCGTTTTGTGTGAAAACGGTCCAATACTGTTAGCTCAGGGGATTCATCGAAACCCAGTTACTCTTCGTACCTTATTCTAGCGTTATTGATAGTCTAGATACCTATTTTCTATGAACATTGTATTGGGATGCATTTTTTGGGTCGTTTGGCAGGTCTCCTTCACGAAGACACTGACGCATGAGCACAGAATCTAGTAACACCCTGGACTAAAAAGAGGTACAGAAAGATGTCGACTTTATTGCACAAGCCTGCGTTCTCGTCTATCGGTTGGCAATGAGGCCAATTCATGAATCCCTTCCTACCGACTTGTTGTTTAAGATGAAAATTCGAGTCATACAAAAATTCTCCCCCGCAAAAGAGTCAGTCGCCCTAGGAAATCGGCCTTTTCGGAGGGACTGGGAAATTAATAAAGTGAATCCAAATCGTCTATTTTTGTAGCCCACTCAATCGGAAGTTGGGTGAATGTGGCTTTCCCTATTCGTCCTACAGGTCGGCCGCGCATTGTTGCTCTTTGTGTCGGTCGAAGTGAGGATACCAACTCACCATTTAGGCCTGTGAAAGCGGCGTCCACAGAGGCGGGCACACCCTGCCAAGTGTCGGCGATCTCACGAGGGTACTCGGGCGACGGCGCGACTCGGCCAAAGGAACCGTCTTTTTCGTTTAACAGCCAGTACAGTTTGCCAGCAAAAATGTATATCATCTGAGGTCCGAGTGAAGAAGACGAGGAAAAGAGTAGACGTAGAGACGGAGAAGACGTGAAAAAGTGGGGAATAAGAAAGAAAAGTTTATTATCGAGGCCGCTTCAAATAAGTCATTAGGGCCCAATAAAAATTTACTAAATGCTGAGCAAGCAGGCTCAGGAAGTATCAGAAAATTATGGTCAAGTTCCTGATTCACAACTTTGCTTTTGATTTTCCCACAATGCAGTGAATCCCACATAGTTTTGCCGCACAAAGGCTCTTTCACAGTTTCGACCTTGCCTCCTAAATTGAATTTAAATCATGTAGGAAGTAGTAAAGAGGTAAGGAAGTTTGTTGAGCTTACTTCCATTTTGAGTGAAAGTGTTAGGGGAAGAGATTCGAAGGTCGGTTCCGCCCGAAGACGACGGCGGATTCCTCTTGACCAGCTGTCGATTGGCTTCTTCGTCTTTTGGTGGAACCGACCTTCGAATCTCTTCACCCAACACGTTCATCCGAAATGGAAGTGAGCTCAACAATTATGAAACAAGAGATTCCTCGAAACCCAGCTTTTCTTCGTATGTAAGCAAGTTTCCCCTCGGGCGCTCTGGTTCAGTGGCATATGTGGCTGAGCAAAGAATTTTTCAGTTTGTCGGGTTAGAATCCTGTTATATTCAAATTTTAAAGGTAAGTTATTAGTTTATAAGTAGATTTTCGAGACCTCCAACAGATTATATATAAGAGATGTATGGTAATTGAATGTTTCCACA